AAGCCCAGGCTGCAGCTCAAACCCCACCCCCCCATCCATGGATCCCCCCAACCCAGCTGCCCGGCTACAGCCCCAACCTATGAATGTACAAGGGACAGTAGCTGAGCAACTGAGTAACAGTGACCCCAGTATAATTAGGTTCAACAGCCTATGGTGCTAAGCTACCTAAAAATGACACGGTGACACTAAACGTTAGAAAGAGAGATTGCAATAAAAAGGTCAGTCAAAAAGGCCCTCTGGGGAAAAGTAACGTCCTTAGAGGTGGCATGGATGCTACTTAAGAAAGGAATAAGAGTATCACAAGACGTGGGCCATGAACAAAACAGGGAACCAGGAAGGCAAAGACTAAACTAATAGGGCTAAATGGCAGGGTCAAGAGACTAGTTAAGTCACACAGAAACCCTTCAAAACTTGGCAATTGGACCCTATCAGAGGCAACAAATAAGAGAAGAGGGGACCGTTAGATCATCTAGTCTGACCTGTATAGCACACGCCCTAGAATTTCACCCACTTACCCCCATGCTGAGCCCAGTTGTTTGTGTTTGGCTACACTATCCTCCGGAAGGAATCCAGTCTGGATTTGAAGACATTGAGATGGAGAATCCATCACTTTCATTGGTAGTTTGTTCCAGTGGTTAGTCACCCTACTGTTAACTTTGTGCTTTAGTTCTAAGTTGAATTTGCCTGGCTACACATTCCTGTCACTGGTTCTTGTTCTGCCTTTCTGCTCTAGAGGAAAGAGCCCTGCAGTATGTGATATTTTGTCTGTGTAGATCTTTACGTTCAAGTCTACAGCTTAATCTTTTTGTTAAACTGCACAGATTGAGCTCTTAAGGGATTTTTTCCAGCCCCTGAACCACTTGTGACTCCTGCTTGTAGAATGTAAATGGGAAACGGGTGACCCAAACTCGCCTTCTTAATCCAAAGTACTGTATAATATCGGCCACTTGGGCTGGGCCATCACACAAGAGGGGAAGATGATTCTCAACTCTCCCAGACAATTTGTTCTAGGAACAAAGAACAACATAATAGAAAAAGGATTTTAAAGCAATAAGGAGCCTACACATCTCTCAGCTAAAGCCTCATCGCACTGGGATGGAAGGCCAAGCTTCTTCGGAGTGCCACACACAGACATCTGTTTGGCGGGCCGAGACTTTTTAATGTCCTTTTGATCAATGGGTTCCTAATGTTGGCAAAACAAAGGATGCAGGAGCTTCCCACTTAGCAGCTCAGGTGCTCTCTCTTTACCACTGAAGTGTATTCTGTGAGGTATCTTATCTCAGTCTTTGGTCTTCCTGCTGGTTTCCCCAACAGGACTTGACTGCATCTGGGCTAGCCGTACAGTAACTGTCCCAGTGCAGTGAATATCACCACAGCCATGTCACATACAGTATTCAACTACAGAGCAGGCCTAAATCCTTCACCGCTACAGTAACTCCTCACTTAACGTTGTAGTTCTGTTCCTGAAAAAAGCAACTTTACATGAAACAATGTTAAACAAATCCAATTTTCCCATAAGATTTAATGTAAATGCGGGGGGTTCGGTTCCAAGGACATTTTTTGGGGGCAGACAAAAGGCATTATATACTGTACAGTATTGTACTGTGGTTGGGAAGTGCCCTGGCTTACCCCCACAGGCACAGCCCACTGCAGGCAAGGACCTTTGCAGCAGCAGCAGCGGCAGCTTCCCCGGAGAACAGGCTCGGATTTTGCCGGGAATGCTCCAGGCCCGCCTCTTCCTGTCCCCGCTCCACTCCAGACCCACCTCTTCCCCTGCCACTCCACCTCCTCTCCGAAGCATGCCACATCCCTTCCCCTCCCTCACCCCAAAGTCCTAAGCGAGACACGGTGCTTCCCCGCTCCTGCCCCTCCCTCCCAGAAAGTCCTAAGTGCGAAGTGCTGGGAGGGAGAGGGAGGAGCAGAGAAGCCCCGCGTCTCCACTCTTCCCCCTCCCTCCCAGAAAGTCCTAAGCACTGTGTGTGGGGGGGGGGGGGGGGAGCAGCGCTAGGAGGGAGGGGGAGGAGGCGGAGAAGTGGAACTTGTGCAATGCTCCCTTGTAAAGTCGCTGTTCTTCCACAGAATCTTACAAGCAGGCAGCCAAACGACGTTATAAGGGAGCACTGCATAACTTTAAACGAGCATGTTCCCATATTGAGCAGGGACGTAACGTTGAAACAACGTTAAGCGGGAAGATGTTAAATGAGGAGTTACTGTCTTGCAGGTGGTATGTAAAAGGGAAACCAGAAGGGTCAGAAAATTTTTTGAAGAGCCAAAAGCTAAAGGTGTAAAAACAAATGAGATTCTTTAAGTATATCAATAGCATGAAGTCCTGCATAAAAGGCTATTAAAGAAACTCAGTCACCATGAGGGGAAAGGCCAAAGTATTGTCAGGGATCAAAAACTGAGTAAGAGACAAGACTAAATAGTCAGTTTTCATCATGGCAGAAGGTAACAACCAGGCCTCAAGGTACTCTACTAGGTCTCGTGTTGGAGAGTAGTTATGAATGATCTGGGAAGAGCGGCAAGTCGTGAGGTAGTAAAATTTGCAGACGACACAAGGTTATTTGGGTTAGTCACATCTTGAGAAGACTCTGAAGAACTTGGAGAGACATAAACAAGCGGGGTGAGTGGGCAACACAATGGCAAATGGAGTTTAATGTTGATAAATGCAAAGTAGTGCACATTGTAGGGGAAAAACTGAACTATTTGTACACCTGACAGGCCTCTAAATTAACTGTAATCAACCCAAAAAAAGGGACCTAGATGTCATTGTAGACGGCTCAATGAAGACCTCAGTTTAATGCCCAGCTGCGATCCACAAGTCAACCAAGACATTTAGATGCATAAGGAATGGAGAAAAATATGGAAAAATATTCCAATGCCTTTATATAAATCAATGGTACAGCCTCATCTGGATCCTGTGCCCGGCCCTGGGCACCCCATCCCCGAACTAGAGAATGATCAAGGGTCTGGAAATTCTCCTCTGAAGAGAAACAGAAAAGATTGGACTAGTTACCGTGGAAAAGGGATGGACAAGAGAGGGAGCGTGATAAGTCTATAAAATAATGAATGGGTTGGAGAAGGCAGGTTGGGAATGTAGTAGAAAGAGAGAGCCTGAGACATGAGGCCTGGTAGAAGGGGCCTGGTGTAAGGCCTTAGGCCTGAACTGAAGTAGTACTCAGGCCCTGCTGATATAAAGCAAAGTGCAAAGTTAGCAAAAGTCAGGCTGTGAACAGAAGACAGGCCCTGTTATAAAACATGTCTGCTTGCAAGTTCACAGAACCTGGCAAGAACAGGGCTGGTATTGCAAAAACCACACACTTTCCTAAGAAGTGCTAGGCACAAGACACTGCCCAGAAGGGTGGTACCAGAAGCTCCTGATACAGGGTTATGGTGTAAACGCATTCCCTGAATATGATACAAGGACACACTGATCCCCTCTGTGGGGGAATAGGCCTGGCTGGCCTCCCTTGCACCGATCAGAACATCGGCGAAGACTCGTCATATAGGCCCGCCCTGCAGGCCACAAGCCTGAACTAGGCTAAGTGACACAGTCTCCTGCCAAACTCGGTCAAGGTCATGACCAGAGGAGGGAGGGGGGCCAAGGAGGGAAAGAATAAAAAGCCCCAGCAGCAGCACTAATGAAATATGTTCATGGCTGTTGAAATATGATAACCGCTTGTTGATTAAATATAGTAACCGCTTGTGTGAAGAAATTAGTTCTAGCTAAATGTTAACTTCTCCTGTAATTCCAGCTAAATGCAAAACTAGCCAATTAGATACCTTCTTTGGGCGTCCTGTCAAACCCCCCCCCCGGTACACTGACCATAACGCCCGGAATGTACCCTAGCTGGTGCCAAATTTTGACCGCATCAGGGTTCTCGAGAAGCCCCCAATATACACCCAATTCTCGGAAGAATAATGGGGAAGGTACCGGGAAAGGGGAACAGACCCCAACTCTTTTACTTTTGTAAATGACGTACTATGTTTGCGGTTTGTAAGAATAAAAGCAGGCTGCGAGCTGCGATCGGGGGGTGTAGTTTCTGACTGCAACCCCCAACGCGTTGGTATGTATTGCAATAAACTGGCTCCAGGCTTGAGTCTGTGAACTAAACTCAATGCGTGGGTGACTTTCCACGACACCTCCTAAAGATAAGGTCGGGATGACAGGGTGACGGACAGAGATGTTTGATGTACAAGGTAAAGCGTAGTAACTACCATGTTGGAGGGGCAATATGTAATTTGTTTGTATCAGTGTATAAAAGAAGGGTCAGAGAGGGGGTGTCTTTGTCCAGCCGAGGGGGGAATGGAAAGTCCCGCTGCTCACTGAGCTGGTCCGTTGTCACGGACATCCATGTGCTAGTGTACCTGTAGACATTGATCCGGGGAGCTAGGACCGTGCTTCGTCGACAATAAACCTGGCTAGGTGCCTTCGCTACAAAGCGAGTCTTGTGCTCTTTGTGGGCAGTTCGGTGGCGGTGTGCTGTGTTGCTAGCCGCACAGAGCTGGGACAGCACACAGAAAGAATCCACACACGCAGCCAACACCTAACAACGGGGAACTTCTGTTCTCCCTTTGTCATAACATAACAAGGGACATTCAAAGAAATTAAACAGTGGCAAACTGAAAACTGATCAAAAGGAAAGACTCACACAGTGCGCAATTAAACTGTGGAACTCATGACAGCAGGACGCTGTTACGGGCAAGAATTTAGAAAAGGTTAAAAACATTTATTGAACGAAGATATCCAGAGTTATAATTAATGCTAACAGATATTTTGAAGGGATATTAAACCTTGTACTTCAGGGTTTAAGCAACTTTCTAATGATTAGGATGAGACCTAATATTGGCCGGGGGGGGGGGGGGGGGCAGATTATCCTACATTTGCCTAGTGTGCAATTCTTACACCTCCCTCCGATGCATCTGGTGCTGCTCACTGTCAGAGCCTGGACACTGGGCTGGCAGGACCTTGGGTCTGATCCAGCGTGATCATTCCTGTGTCAATGGGAGTTTTGCTGGAGTACAGGTTGGGAAAGCCCTTCCAGATTCGGGCTGGCACACACGAGCTGCTTCCACCTCGTGTGGACACTCTGGTGTTTTTGCAGTGTCCCCTTGACAGTGAAGCGCTTCCCGCACTCGGTGCAAGTGAAGGGCCGCTCCCCCGTGTGGATCCGCTGGTGCATTTTGAGGTTGCTCTTGGTGGTGAAGCTTTTCTCGCACTGGGTGCAGGTGAACGGCCGTTCCCCCGTGTGCACTCGCTGGTGCGTCAGGAGGTTGCCCAGCTGCGTGAAGCATTTCCCACACTGGCTGCACATGTATGAGCGCTCCCTGGTGTGGATCCTCTGGTGCATCGTGAGGTCCCTGTTGGAGGCAAATCTCTCCTTGCACTCAGCACATGCAAAGAGCTTCTCGCGCACGTGGCTTTTCTGGTGCGTGTTGAGTGTGCCCTTCTTGGCGAAGCTCTTCCCGCACTGACAGCAGGTGAACGGGCGCTCCCCCGTGTGGCGCCGCTGGTGGGTCAGGAGATTCACCTTCTGAGTGAAGCTCTTCCCACACTCCGCACACTGGAAAGGCCGCTCCCCCATGTGCACCCTCTGGTGCAGTTTGAGGTTGTCTTTCCTGGTGAAACGTTTCCCACACTCAGTGCACGGGAACAGCTGCTCCCTGCCGTGTGTCCTGCTGTGCACCTTCAGAATGGCCTTGCTGATGAAGTGCTTCCCGCATTCGGGACAGGGGAACTGATGTTCTCCCGTGTGCAGCCTCTTGTGCAGTTTCAGAAATTCGTTCTGAACGAAGCCCTGGCCACACTCGGTGCACACGAAGGGCAGCTCCCCTCTGTGCAGGCGCTGGTGCATTTTGAGGGTGGCCTGGGCGGTGAAGCCCTTTCCACACTCGGTGCAAGTGAAGGGCCGCTCCCCCGTGTGGATCCACTGGTGCATTTTGAGGTTGCCCTTGGTGGTGAAGCTTTTCTCGCACTGGGTGCAGGTGAACGGCCGTTCCCCCGTGTGCACTCGCTGGTGCGTCAGGAGGTTGCCTGGCTGCGTGAAGCATTTCCCACACTGGCTGCACATGTATGAGTGCTCCCTGGTGTGGATCCTCTGGTGCATCGTGAGGTCCCTGTTGGAGGCAAATCTCTCCTTGCACTCAGCACATGCAAAGTGCCACTCGCGCACGTGGCTTTTCTGGTGCGTGTTGAGCGTGCCCTTCTGGGCAAAGCTCTTCCCGCACTGACAGCAGGTGAACGGGCGCTCCCCTGTGTGGCACCGCTGGTGTGTCAGGAGATTCACCTTCTGAGTGAAGCTCTTCCCACACTCTGCACACTGGAAAGGCCGCTCCCCCGTGTGCACCCTCTGGTGCAGTTTGAGGATGTCTTTCCTGGTGAAATGTTTCCCACACTCAGTGCACAGGAACAGCCCCTCCCCCGTGTGCACTCGCTGGTGCATTTTGAGGTTGCCCTGGGCGATGAAGCTCTTTCCGCACTTGGTGCACACGAAGGGCCGCTCCTCGCTGTGCATGCGCTGGTGCATTTTGAGGTTGCCCTGGGTGGTGAAGCATTTCCCGCACTGGCGGCACGGAAACAGCCCCTCCCCCGTGTGCACTCGCTGGTGTATTTTGAGGTTGCCCTTCGTCATACAGCTCCTTCCGCATTCCAGACATGTGAATGGTTTCCTCCCCGTGGGCGCTCCCTGCTGGGCAGTCAGGTGTGTCCGACCCTGCCGACTGGCTTTGTGTCTCTGCCTTGTGTCCTGTCTCTGTAGTGGTGGTGGTTTCTGGGGCCTGAGGAGGGGCATGAGTTTTTCCTGCATAATATTTCTCTGCTGCTTTTGTGATTTGCTCTGACTCTTGTCTCTTGGCTTTGTCCTTGAGTGCTGGTGGAGGTCCCCTCCAGTCTGTTCTGGGGATGTCTTGGGAAGATCCAGGGTTCTAGTACCTTCCTGATCGTCATCCTTCATCTCACCATCTGCTGCAGAGAGAAGAGCCCTGGGGTTATCTCCTGATCTAGTGACCAAGGGAAACTCCTGATGTTCAGCACAACCTTCCATTCCCAACCACAGCCCAAGGAACCGGTCTCTTGGAAAAGCCTACAGAACCGCCTCCCTGCCCTCAGCTCCTGGGAAGCTACCCCCTTCAAGGAGTGGTTCCACTAACTACAGAGAAGCAGGTCTCAGTGCTTCCTCGAGTTTCTATTGGCAAAGACACAGGCAGTGGGAAAAGACTGCCTTCGTGTTGCATTGGACTGAACACGAATTGCTGCCATGAGGCTGAGCTCAGAATAGTCTCCACAGCGATCCCAAGTGGTGGAAGTTAGCATTGCTTTCTCCAGCAGACTAACGAAGGGATCAGGTCCCAAGGGACAGCTCAGGAAGTCCATAGAATCATAGACTCATAGACTTTAAAGTCAGAAGGGACCATTATGATCATCTAGTCTGACCTCCTGCACAACGCAGGCCACAGAATCTCACCCACCCACTCCTGTATTAAACCTGTGTCTGAGCCATTGAAGTCCTCAAATCATGGTTTAAAGACTTCAAGGTGCAGAGAATCCTCCAGCAAGTGACCCGTGCCCCACGCTGCAGAGGAAGGCGAAAAACCCCCAGGGCTTCTGCCAATCTGCCCTGGAGGAAAATTCCTTCTCAACCCCAAATATGGCGATCAGCTAAACCCTGAGCATGTGGGCAAGACT